CCATGCACAAAGCTAGAGCATCCTCCACCTTTACAGCAGTACCCACCCCACATATGTCCCATGTATGGATGAGCCTTCTGAGCCTGGATTGGTCTCATTAGCCATCTTCAAACACAGCCACCGATCTTCAACTTGATATTGAAGTCATGGTCATCGTCGACTCCAAAGGACAAACATCATCACTGTGAAGTCTTAGTCTCATACAATACTGTATTTGCACTAATGGTGGATGATAGAAAATTAAATTGCACTATAATTACATAATGAAGTTAAAGGTTTATGATCATTTATTTTAATGCTGTATATGGCAGCAAACAACTGAACATTTTTCTAGTACAGGTACAGTAAATATCATTAGGGAGAATTCTTTTCCCAAACACAAGTTTATGAGTAATCTTATCCTATTAAAAAGAAAGTTACAGTAATTCCTTAAGGCACCCAACACACATCTGAAAATTGAGTGAGTGATGACATTTCAGTCCATTCTGGACCATTATAAAGTTATGTGGCTCAATATATGAGGTCAAATTTGTTTTCAAGGTCTGGTAGGAATGAATAGCCATTGCTGTTTATTAACAGTAAGTAGGGCATTCAGTCACTCATTTCCCACATTTAACTACATCAGCTTGCCTGAAATGCTATGCAAAATAGTGGCTTTAGGTTTTGTATATACTGTACTATCTCTATCTATAAATCCAACATTATGTTTGTAACTCTTCATCAATGTACTGTACTTTTACCCAACTAAAAATTTGAATATGAATTTTGAGCTTGTCTGATGGGCTGGAAACCTACATTTGTTAAGTTTTTAACTACTTAAACAATGACTATGCATTGCTGTGCATTGCTGTCATGCACAGTAATACCATAATCTTATTTTTCTTCGTTACATTGGTATTTGCAGTCAAGAAATATCCAAGCAGTTTCATTGGGCAAACAAAGGACCATATTTCCCTGAGTAGAAATTTAAAAATAAAATTAAGATAAAATGATACACCTAGAGTATTGAGGGCCATTGCATGTTACTAAATAACAGTGAAACTATAATAAAGTTTACAAATCAACTTATTTATGTAATTGCTCATAGTGTTGTATTTTACTATGTAACAAAACTAAAATTGAATATTCTATTCCTAGAGAAGAACCATTTATTTGATCCTTATATTGTAACAAATGTTACAGTAGTACTGTACTGTACAGTACAGTAATAAGTTGCACAATACTGCTGTAAATAATCATAATCATTCTGATTTGCTTTGGTGTCAATTTGTAAGTCGCAACTCCCTGTACTGCAGAGGAGACTACCAAAAAAATAGAGAATTGCTAGAGAATAATGAGAAAGTGAACTCTGATAAATATTCAATCATGCACAGACCAATTTTGTACTACCCCTATATAAACCAAAAGAAAAAAGCACAACACTAATCCACAGTTCAACAGACAGTGCATAGTAGCAACAGGCACTGGAGGCAATTATCAGAAGAAAATGCTTAACCAAAACACCTGTATAGCACATGGAAAAAGACATTAGGATAAGATATGAGGATAAAATGAAGGTGTCACTTGGATCATCAATAAATACCAACCCTGCAAAAGCAAGGCTGCTAGTGTATGTGGATACACAACTGTGGTGGTAGAGCACAGAAGAGAGCCAGAACAACTACAAGAGGGAGTATATAAGAATTAGAAAAGTAGAAAAGTAATGAGGATGATATAGCATACAAGACAAGACTAATATAAACTCCTACATAGACACAAGGAGGAAAATTGCTGGTTACCATTTGACCAGTTCAGCTCCATGCCTAGTAGTATATGGCTAGGCCCTCTTTGAGACCCGCTCAATGATGTGTAAAATTTTTATATACTTTAAAAAAGTTTTCTAAGTACTGTGCATTTATTATTTTGGGTTATAACCACCTCTGCAAGTAGTTCCTCGACGAGGTGAGGGGGGTTTTCTGCACCACATGTGGGGTAGATTGGAGTGGCTTCTGCTCCCCTCTAGCCTGCTTTGGTGGTGCACAAGCAAATTTCCCTCCTGTGTGTTAGCCATGCATGGTAACCCATACATTCCCTTATGTTCCCTCAATTGGTAGTTGAGCTTATCAAACGGCTAAGCCCCAAAGGGCTGACATGCTGCTTTGGTTTGGGGACCATGGTAAAACAGGAGGTTCAGTGTGGCCCACCTTAACTAAATGCCTCATCTAGTTAGACAATGGCTCAAGTGACCACTGTGGGGTTGGTATCCCCATCGGTCCCTGGGATACCAATCTGATCCTTCAATGGTGACCTTATGTATACTATCCAGTTACCTCTGAGGTGGTTTATTTCCACTCTCTACTCTTCATCCTAGTATCACCCGCTCTTGTTCGGTTTGTGCATCAGCCACGCCCGCCTATCTCATGGTTATCTTGAGATGATTTCGGGGCTTTAGTGTTCCCTCGACTAGGTCTCCACCCCCAGGAAGCAGCCCGTGACAGCTGACCAACCAGTCAGGTGTCACAGGCTATAGGTACCTATTTACTGCTAGGTAACAGGGGCATCAAGGTGAAAGAAACTTTGCCCATTGTTTCTCGCTGGCGCTCGGGATCGAACCCGAGACCACAGGATCATGCTTCCAGTGTTCTGTCCGCTCAGCCGCCGGCTCCCTAAACTTTATGGTTCTGCTCCCTTTTGTTCAAACTACATTGTCCCACTTACAGCCATGCACCTCTTTGTAGATTGCCCTGATTTTCAGGATTGAGTGTTTTGTTTTCTTAAGTGTCCCTAGGGACAATCCCTAGGACTAAGGGACATGGACAATTGTCCCTTAATGTCCCTCATTAGAATCTTGGTTGAATATGATACCTTTTATATCATTCGCCTTACGACCTCTAGTTCTTGTATTGGCATATTCATTGATATTTAGTGCCTTTCGAGTATCTAGCAACACAGAATGAATCTTCAGCCATATAATTGTGACATCGTCTTCATGTTACATAAGACTTTCTGGCTTATCGCTTTTGATAATTACTTTGGGTTATAACTACGGTATAAATTTTTTCGAATTTGAGTACTATTTTTCATAAAAAGCCACCACCTGACAATACAGTGTCAGCCTTCAGTTAGTTGTTGTGAATTCAGATATGGTGTGTTATTCTGCGAGTTTTTACTTTTATTATTTAGTTTTGTTATTTAAGAATTTAAAATGTCTTATTATGGTGAATAGGTACCTGTATATTATTATATGATAAAAAGCACAGAGCAGTGAAAGAATGTCAATTTTGCCTTGTAAATTTTAGCACCTTGTTCATTGTGCTGAGTTTAAAAAGGTTAAAATCACTAAAGCAGAGTATAGAATATACATGAACTAAAAATAATGTATATATTACAGTACAGTACTGTATATGCATGGTATTGCAGAATATACTAGAGTTTATAGACATTTAAATATTCCTAGTTAAATCATAAATTATAAAATATTGATATGTTCACAAATTATCGATCTATACATCTGTAAAAATAAAAATATTACTTGCATAAATTTTCGTCAGGTAATTTGCATCTAAAGGTTTGGGGTGTTGATGAGGGTTATTCCTGGTTGGTCCCTTGGTCAACTTTGCCGACGGTGTACTGTACTTGTATATTTCAAGAGTTTCATTACGTAAACACAAATAGAATTGTTAAGAAAGTGTTTTTTTAAATTCTGAGATTGGACCGATTACAGTACTGGTACTGTACATGAAATGACAGAATGACATTTGAACCTCTGAAGTATTAATCAGCAAGTAATCAGATTAAAAGGTAAGTGATCATAAGAATTTTTACATGAACTAGAACTGCCAGTGAAACATTAAGAGCAGAATTTACCCAATGAAGGGGACTAAATAATTATCAAAAGAAGGCACCAAGTCGGGGAGACTATGTAGCACCAACCTATGAGGTGAGGAGACAACTGAATCAACTGGATAAGATAAAGTGTGTAATTAGAAGGGGGCTCTTGAAGCATTTAGAAAACTTGGGCTTTGTCTCTAAACACCAAAATGGGTTTAGTGAAGGAAGACCATTCCTAATGACTCAATTTCTTACCATGGTAGTTATGTGTAGCAGGTGGAAGAATGTAGCTATCCCTGTGTCATGTGTTGCAATTTCTTTCCAATTCTTTGCAGTGAAGTGGAAAGTGGTTGTTCCTGTGGAGTGCAAGTTCTCTCCAGTCCTGTATAGCTGATGGATGGTACATATTAGGTTGTGGGCTTGAGGCATCACAAATTTGTTCTACTGGGACAAATTGTTGGCCAGGGATTTTTTATGTAATTTTTTAAAACCTTCAGAGAAGCAGTGCAAATGAATCCATGATTTACTGTTTGATGTGAGACAGACTACTGGTGCACCAGACCATCATAAAATATGCATTGCACTCTTCCAGTGATGGTTTTTCTTTACATCCACTTTCTACGAGGTATTTGCCGAGTTAACTATGTCTTGTCACACAATTTATTAATGCAAGTCACATCTTATTATTCAACAGCTAAGCCAATATATACAATTTTACAAACAATATTTTGAAACCAGTTAAGCCATAAATCCTAAAGGTTTGCAAAAGTTGACAAATCAAATTTGAATATTAAATTAATGCCCATTTCTATCCCAGGAAAAGAACAATATACTGTATACAGTCCAGAAAATACAAATGTTATAATGATTAATAATCAGATTGGTAAAAAGGTTAACAAGCACACATTTGATAGGAAAAAGGGGGGTATATCAATGATAAACAGAGCACAAAAAAGTGGAAATATATAACAGTACAATACTGTATGTACGTTTATTAATTATGAAACAGCAACTACGCACATAAATAACAAATCTCTACACACATAACAAATCTATACATATGATTTATTCATTTTAAAACCATGAAAATAACATATTACAATACATAGCAGGTTGATGATTGACAGACTTTTTTGTACCAAGGAGCTTAAAAAAAATTAAAGTGTATAAAATGGGTAAAAAAATTAGGATTTTTTTTTATACAAATCTAACTTTATTGTATTCTGTAATAATACATACAAATTTAAAACCATTGAGTTGAATGTTGTAAAGATAAATATTTACATTACAAAATTTTAACCCAAAAGCAGAGACCATAACACCAACAATACTAATGAGATATTAAATTGAGATAACTGTATTAATGATCTTACTAAATCATTTTTTAATTTATCAATTAAAAATGGATCCAAGCTATACAAAGCATTACTGTACATTGTATTACTGTTCACATTGTATGGCTTTGTGGATTTAATAATGTTTCTATTGACAATACTTTTACAATTCATTATTGAAGAAGACTTCTTCTAATCAATTTGGTGCAAATTTTCTGACAAATGAACACACAGAGCATTAGATAATTGACCATTTTTTACAGAACAATACAATTGGAAAATTATTAGATGATTATTGGCACTGCTGGCCAGTCACATAGGTAAATATTTTCAAAAACTTTTCAAACAAAATTTTCTTATACTGTAGTAATATACACCATTATTAACTGATAATGGGAAAATTAACAAATTTCCTATTGTCAATAATTTGCCCATATTTGCATAAAACATCCATATCTTTCACAGCATCAAAGTTTTTTCAAGCCATGGCTCTTTACCAGAGTAAGGGGTAACTATTCTCTTCTTAGTACAGTATTTCACTCCACTGAGCTCCTCTCACTGCTGACCACCCACACATTTGACAATTATATTTGTTATAAGAGAGACAGGGGCAGATAAAGACAGAGGTTGAGAGAAACACAGACAGGGGGACTGACAGAGACAAAGAGGCAGACAGATAATAGATAGATGGATGGATAGGGGAATGGACAGATTGATGGATAGACAGATGAGTAGATGGATGGATAGATGAAAAGATAGTTGGATGGATAGATAGATGAATTAGGTGCATGGGTAGATAGATGGCTGCACAGGTGGATGGATGGACAGATAGAGGGCAAGATAGGAAGATGAATATGATGATACTGAGAGATGAATCGGTGGATAAATAAACATATATATGTGGATGGCTAGATGGATGTATGGATAAATGAATAGGTAGATTTTTAAATAGATGGATGGATATAGTTGGACAGATGGGAGACAGACCCCTGGGCAATGCCAGGTACCCAGCATTGCCTAAGTGTCTGTCTCCCATCTGTCTATAATGTATCTATAGTGTGTATATGTATATACAGTACAGTATATACGTGTACATATACCGTGTTTAGTAAATGGTTTGCAATTCCTCTCTCATTCCTTGATAGTCACCTTGCTGGTAATCTAGAAATTCATCATCTTTGACCTTTATGTGGGTTTCTATATTCGTAGTCCATCTTAAAATATGATGGTCGTATGAGGAGGGGGGTTAGCTTTTCCCCCCACAAGAATTTGATCAATCATACCCTCTTCTGTTGTTAGCACTAGATCTAGTATACTGTTACAAGTATACTGTTACAACGTGTGGGCTCTACCACATGCTGTATGAGGAAAGAGTCCTGCACAAGGTAAAGAAATTGCTCACCTTCTGCTCGAGATGTTAGGTTGATCCAATCCATGGTCTCATGGTTAGTCCCCCATTATTAGGGTTTTGGTTTCAGATTCTATATTGATCACATTATGCAGATCCACAATTTCCTCTGCCGCTGCTGTGTCAACCCTGTAGCATACTCCCACAGTAATTTTGCTATCATCTTTAGTATGTTGCACCATGCAGACTCTGAGGAACCCCATGATGTTCCGTTCCTCATTGTTATTTATTTTATTTGTATATATACAAGAGTCTTATATTCTTGCACAGCCAATAGCATGCATAGCATTTTAGGCATGTTTTTAATCCTATATTCCCTGGAATACGACCCTGCTAAATCTTTTAACAATCACGTGACCAACCGTTGTTGGATGCATCCATGTCCCCCTTCACATACAGCATCACCCCACCTGCTCTTATTGTTCTGATCTTTCTGAATGGTGGGTAGTAACGAGAGAGAATTCCCTTTCTATTATGTCCTCTCGGCCCCATGTTTCACTGATGTCAAGTAAGTAAAGTAATCATCAAAGAAGGCACCAAGCTGGGAAGGCATGTAGCATCACTGATGTCAATGATGTCAGGATTTTCAGCCTCAGCATATGCACATAATGATTCAAATTTATTTACTAGGCTTCTGGCATTTGTGTAGAAACAATTTAAACACCTGACATTATTCCTGGGGGCTGAGAGATTGCTCCTGTATTTAGTGCATTACAACTCTGTACATTTCCACTCTGGTTCTGAACTTGTTTGTCATCCAAGATATATAGATTTAGTTCTGCCTGACTGGGTAAAGGATTTGGTAAAGTAATTTCTCTTATGATTCCTTTAAGGCCATCTCTTTTGTCATCGAGCTCTTCCTTAGTCCCTGTATTGCTTGTTGGTGGACTGTATGCAGTAATGATTATTAGGTTGGTGTTATTAGATTATTGCTAGATTACTGTATTAGTATTATTAGTGTGTGTAATATTACCTAAGCGTACATGTATGCGTGCTTGTATTGAGGTCCTTCCAAAGTCGAACTATAATACTGACCCTTTCCAGGATGCAACCCCACAACAGTTGCATAACTCCTGGGTACCTATGTACTGCTAGGAAAACAGTGGCATTAGATGAAAGGAGACATGTCCATTATTGTTCTGGCCAGGAATTGAAACCTGGATTCCTCAATTGTGAGTCGACAATGAAGCAAATTGTACTACGATACCTTATAAATAAACAGTGCAAACCTAAAAATGCAAAAAACTAAATCATTAAAATTTTATTGTACTGTATTTATATTTTTAATTGTCAGGGACAGGATGCCTATTAGGCTTATTGTGGTCCTCGTAGGCCAATAACTGACTTTACCCAGGATGTGACGTGCAACATTTGGCTAAAATCCAGGTACCTATATACAGTACTGTTAGGTGAACACAGAATTAAACTGGAACCTTTAAAGTAAGGCAGCACACACAGTATTTTAAAAGTTGAGATACATACTAAAATATACAAGATATACAAAATATACAATATAAGAAAAATACATTTGGCCTCGGGCCCAAATTCAATCATAATACTGTACTGTTATAATAATAATACTGTATAAATGTATTATTATTAGAAAAAAAAAGAGCCAATTATAACAATCAATTCCTAATATAGCACATACTAGAGGTAGAGAAGCCTGAATTACATCAAGTTTCTGGTAAAGGTATCATGATGAAAAAGGGCAAGTAATACAGCAATTATATTATGCATTTCCGGCAGATCTTTGTTCACTCCAGACCTCTTGTAATTCTTTTGGATCATCAAAACCATGGGAGGCAATCACCCACTTATATCCCTCCAGATCATATAGTTTACGATAGAAGTAAAATTCCTTGTGGTGATAAGGCTTAATGCCTGCATATTTAGCTGCCATACCAAGGAACACATCATCAAAACGGAATTTGTAGGTATTGGTACTACCGTGATATAAATCTTCCAAACTTTTTCTTGACAAAACATAAGCACCAGCTGTCACATATGGTGGCCACTCAGAATATGGATATTCATCAAGTGAAATATACCATTTGCTAAAGACCCACCTGATGGGGCGTGAATGTTCAAAAACATAACCTGCATACAGATGTTCTTTGTACTCATTAACAGCTGTTACAATATATTTTTCAAGATATTGAGGATAGTTAGCAGGATCCCTCAAAAAGCGAAGCATATTTCTTGTAGACACATAATAGTCATCATCTACAAAAAGAAAATATTTGACTTTCTGGCAATTGTGGTATGTCCAATGTAAGCCCATCATGGTTTTTATAGTGTTGTTGAAGTATGAGTCTATGAAATCTGCCTGTATTATATCTTTATGTTCCTGAACTTCCTTTTCCAGCAATTTTTGCAACTGAGGTTTGTCTGGATTCATTCCTAACAAGAAGACCGTTTTGATTTCCACATCAGAAAATCGGCTTTCGAAACCCCAAGAATTCCGAATTCCCATTCTTTTCTCAAAATTTGGAAGAGCTGACTTTACAACATACATCAAGCGTATGGAATCTTTTATTTCACATTTTTCCACATTTGAAAATGAATAAGAGTGCTGAAATTCATTGATACGTTTAACTGCAACATCTTCTGCAGGCCTCAATGAGTGAAATGGCCCCCAGTGTGTGTAGTGTTTTGAATAGGACCACGCTATGAAGTACTGATAAATTCCTGTTAGGTACACGAACCCTACGAAGATTAAAATCCAAGCCGATGAAAGGGAACATCTTCGTCTAGACATTTCGTCTTAGTGCAATATGTCTGTAAAGGGAGAAAACAATATTAAAAATTAAAAATTAAAAGCTTGTATGTAAAGAACATTTCAGACCAAGTAATTTAGTTCCTCCTTTTAGTAAGCTTCAACTATCTAAGTGATTAATGTGGAATGGACAATCAGAGTAACATTCTGATTTTGGTAAAAGATATAGAACTTTTTCATGTAAGCCCTGCATAGTCATATAGGTACTAAGGAGCACTGGGGAAACCATCTGACTGGAATAAACCTTTGAAAGGCATAGTTCAAATAAAATCTAAGCCCTTCCAGATACTAGATCCTGGAGAAGCCAAAGTATATCAGCCTCCAGAAGGAAAAATCCATGACAAAAGGGTCATCAAAATGAAGGCTAGATCACAAGAAGCATGTAAAGGCATAAGGAAAACTTAACAAAAATTCTTGGACTATGCAGCATGATCCTGACCAACATCACAGAATGGCAATGGTAATTTGACTAATGTAAACTGTCAGAGCAGTGTAGTCCTGAATGAAGAGAAGACAACAGACCAGTGGCCTACTTCTGTGGGCTGTAGACACAGCAGATGGCTCCAGGAAGATGAAACAGTCCTGGAGCAGAAAAACCAAGCACTGAATATAATGCAACACCTTTTTGTGGGGCCCCAGTGGCTCCCCATGTTAGTTATCATCAAGCTTTAGTACAACACACCAGGCTGTTGAGGCCAATTTGTCACCTACCAGAGATCAGGACCAGAATCTCTCTCACCTTTCAAGGCGAGAGGAACAGGGAAGCAAAAAATATAAAACAACGTTGACTATAACGAAACGCCAATTTCTGGGTGAGCCCTGGTTAGTTATTGTACAGTACTAATATAGTGCCAGACTACAAAGTGGAGTTCCAAAGTGGAACTACAGTTGTGGAGTTCCTACTGACCTACTGGAGACCACGAGCCAGAACCTGGCCCCCTCAGAGAGGCGCAGAGAGCAGGGGCACTATGAACAATTTTATTTAAATTTATTCAGGGAGCCACAAGGGGCTGCCCCCTCCGAAATTAACTACAAAATTTGGGAAAACCCACCAGAAAGCATAAAAAAAATGTAAGTGACTGCTTAAAAGACATTAAACATCCCAAAGTAATTAAGCCAAACACTCATGCTACTGTACAATATATAATGGATTCTCGCTCTAATTTATTTTTAAAGCGATGCTCTAGCGAGACCCTATAGAGCTATTTTTTTTATTTTTTTAATGAACTGCACTAATGAATTTCTGCATGATTTAAACAGTTTGTGTCGAGGGGAAATGGCTTAACAGAATATACAAATGTTTAATTAAGTAAGTAAGTAAGTAATTATCAAAAGAAGGCACCAAACCGGGAAGGCTATGTAGCACCATCAAATACGCAAAATAATCAGAGGGCGCTAAATATCACCAAGGATGCCAATACGAGAACAAAAACGCATAAGGCGAACGATATCAAAAGTATCCGAGTCACCAAGAATTCTATCGAGGGACAGGTGACCGCGAGGGGCGGTCGGAAAGCAAGACACACGCTCGTCCTGGAAGTCAGGACATTCAAGAAGGACATGCACGACCGTAAGAGGGACAATGCAACTAGGACAATAAGGAGCAGGGCGGCGCTCCATCAAGTGACCATGGGTTAAGCGAGTATGGCCAATACGCAACCTCGCTAGAGCTGTTTCCCACCGCCGGTTACGGTGGAAGGAGGACGGCCACGAGGAAACACAACATTTAAGAGTACGTAGCTTGTTACCAGTAACAGACAACCAAGAAGCCTGCCAACGGGTAAGGACTGAGGAATGGATAACCGGGTAAAAGTCGGAATACGGAATGCCTTTACGAGAGATGGGACAAGAGCGGACAGCTTCCTTAGCGGCAGCATCCGCACGCTCATTTAAAGACACGCCAATATGGCTGGGAACCCAACAAAACTCAACCGACTTAAATTTACTGTGAACGAGAAACAGCCAATGCTGGATCTCGACAACTACCGGATGAACTGGATTAAAGCACCCGAGAGCCATGAGGGCACTACGAGAGTCAACAACAACCACAAAGGAAGACTGACAACGAGAAAGCAGGAGACGAAGAGCATAGAGAATAGCATAAAGTTCCGCTGTAAAGATGCTAGTCTCCGGAGGCAAGCGACAGATATAAGTGCGATCAGGAAAAACAACAGAGTAGCCAACACCGTCCGCTGACTTAGACCCATCGGTGAAGACAGAAACGGAGCGGGAGTGAGAAGAAAAGTGCTCGAGGAAAAGGCGTTTTAGAACTGTAGGAGGGGTAAAAGCTTTAGTGATACGAGTCAAGGATGTACAAAACCGCGGAAGAGGGACCCTCCACGGGGTCAAAGAAGGAACAACACGAGGAGAAACATCAGAAATACGAACGGAAAGAGAATCCTGCAGGCGAGATAACCGGACAGAAAGAGGGAGGTGGTGAAGAGGAACAGGAACCGCAGGAGGGGTAAAAGTTAAAGCACGACAGAGACGAGAGGAAGGATGTTGCAAGGACCGCGCAAGATAGCGAAGACAGTAGCGATCACGGCGGTCCTGGAGAGACAGGAAGCCAGTGTCAACATACAAGCTAAGGACGGGAGTCGAACGAAAGGCACCAGAACTGAGGCACAACCCAGTATGGTGCAAAGCATCAAGACGGCGAAGAGTAGAAGGAGAAGCAGACGAGTAAGCAGGGCAACCATAATCGAGCTTAGACAGGACGAGAGAGGAATGTAAAGCAAGGAGAGTGCGCCTATCTGCCCCCCAAGAAGTATGGGACAAGACCCGAAGGAGGGTAAGGGACTTAGAGCACTCAACACGGAGGTAAGAGATATGGGGAGACCAAGACAAACGAGTGTCAAGGAATAACCCCAAAAGCTTCGCGGAATCTTTGTATTCAAGGGGATGACCATAAAGTGACAAAGAGGGACGAAGAACAACCCGTTTCCGCGTAAAAGTCATGGCACAAGTCTTAGAAGTAGAGAACTTGAAGCCATGACCTGTGGCCCAAGACGACACGGCATCAATCGCAAGTTGAAGCCGGCGTTGAAGGAGAGGCGAATCATCACCCTGACAACAAAGGGTAAGATCATCGACATAGAGAGCGGAGAAGACACCAGAAGGAAGAGAGGAAAGAAGACCATTGAGGGCAACCAGAAAAAGAGTAGTGCTCAGAACACTACCCTGGGGCACACCTTCGTATTGCTGAAAAGAGGGAGAGAGAGCGGTACCAAGGCGCACCCGAAAGGAACGACGAGAGAGAAAGCTGCGGAGAAAGAGAGGGAGATGACCACGAAGGCCAAAAGAATGAAGTTGAGATAGGATATGATAACGCCAAGTGGTGTCGTAAGCCTTTTCTAGGTCAAAAAGGACGGCAACAACGGAGGTCTTCGCAGCAAAAGCAGTACGTACATAGACCTCCAAGTTCACCAGGACATCTGTCGTGCTGCGGCACTTGCGGAAACCAAATTGAGAAGGGGAGAGGAGGTGATGGTGTTCCAGGAACCACATCAGACGAACGTTAACCATACGTTCAAAGAGTTTGCAGACACAACTTGTGAGAGCAATAGGGCGAAAGTCCTTAGGGGAAGTACCCAGAGACCCCGGTTTGCGAACAGGGAGGACAACGGCATCGAGCCAGTCCTCAGGGACTGACGACGACTCCCAGATCCGATTATACAGACTCAGTAAATACTGAGACGTGCTCGGAGGGAGATGGCGAAGCATCTCATAATGAATACCATCGGAGCCCGCCGCCGTAGAACCGCAGAGGGCCAGGGCAGAACGAAGTTCAGAGAGAGAGAAGGGATCATTATAGGGAAGCTGAAGATGAGTGCAGAAATCTAAAGGACGAGACTCAAGGACAGGTTTACGAAGAAGGAAAGATTGGGGAAGATGAAGACCAGAGCTAACAGAAGAAAAGTGGGAACCCAGTTCGGAAGCGACCTGCAACGGGTCCGCCACAAGAGTATCATGGAGGTGAAGGACCGGTGAAACATCGGGAACGAACTTACCCGCTATCTTGCGGATACGCTTCCAGATCTGGGCCAGAGGGGTTTCGGACGTAATTGTTGAGACATAAGATGCCCAACATTCACGTTTAGCCGTACGGATGGCCCTACGGGCCACCGCACTCGCTTTCCGAAAGAAAAGAAAAGAATCGGTCGTCTGCCTACGGCGGTGCTTCTTCCAGGCTGCACGCTTACAGCGGACAGCCCGAGCACAGTCCGCATTCCACCAGGGAACGCACTTCCGTGGACCCCGAGAGGAAGAGCGAGGAATAGAGCGGAGGGCAGCGTTGAAGACAGTGTCATGAAAAAGGAGGAGAGCGCGAGAGAGGGGCAGAAGGGAGAGGTCAGAGAGAGTAGCACTGAGGGTAAATAGGGTCCAGTCCGCCTTAGCAAACTGCCACCTAGGGAAAGAGAGGGAAGGGCGAAAAGAGAAAAAGGAAACAAGGATGGGGAAATGATCACTTCCATGGAGGTCATCAAGAACCTGCCACGTGAAATCTAAGTAAAGAGAAGAAGAGCAGAGAGAAAGATCAAGACAAGAAAGGGTGCGAGTCCGAGAGTCCAAATGAGTGGGCTCACCAGAATTCAGAAGAGACAGGGAAGAAGAGAGGAGAAACGGCTCAAGGAGGCGACCCCGGGTATTCGTCAGAACGTCACCCCAAAGAGAATGACGACAATTGAAGTCACCCAGCAGGAGCACAGGCTCCGGCAAGGAGTCTAGGAGGTGTTTCAAATCAGGAAGAGAGAGCGGGACACTCGGGGGGAGATAAATGGAACAAACTGTGTACCATTTCCCCACAAAGATACGAGCAGCAGAACAATGGAGAGGCGAAGGAAAAAGTAAAGGAACAAAGGGAACATCAGCCCGAATCAAGAGAGCAGAAGAATTAGAAGCCCCAGCAATGGCTGGGGGGGGGGGGGGGGGGGGAGAGAAAGGAATAGCCACGAAAACGACCAGGACGAGCACCAAGCATCGGCTCCTGGAGACAGACACAAAGGGGCGAAAACCGCGAAATCAGAAGTTGGAGTTCGAGGAAATTGGCGTAATAACCTCGAACGTTCCATTGAAGAATGGACAACGACGAGAAGAGAAAGGACAAAAACAGAGAACAAGGAAGAAACAAAGGCGAAAGAGCAACAGAGCACGTTAAAGAATATCAGGGTCGGGATCAGGGTCAGCAAAGTCAGGGTTAGGGGGCATGGGTAAACTGAGCAAAGACGGAGGGAAGGAAACGGGAGAACAGATCAGAGGTGGGCGGGCAGGGTCCGGAGGAGGAGGAGGAGGAGGAGGAGGAGAGAGGAGACAACGGAGAGGAGCAGTCAAGGACAGCAGCAGGAAGAGGGGGAGTAGAAAGAGAGGAGCGCACCCCAGCAAGAGCAGCAACCGAAAGGGAAGCAGGGGCCAAAGAAACCTCCATAGCAGGAACAGGGGGCGCAAGCACTGAAACGGGAGGGGAAGGAGCAACAGAGCCAGAAGGAGGAGCTGAGGAAGAAAGCGAAGCCTTCTTACCCGCCGGGGAAGAGGAAGGAGAGGAGCCAGGCTTACGCTTCTGACTTAAAGAGACCGGTGTCCCAGCAACTACGTACCGGGCAACGGATTCCAGTGTCTCAACAGGAGAAGCCGAACGAGAGCACACACGACGGCCGTTAGGAGAGCGATGGACATCCGCCCGCACCGACAGGCGGTGGGGAGAGCCGATAGATGGAGGAAGAGGATGGGAAGGAGGATCGGAGGGGGACGAGGAAGAAGACACAGAAGACACGACAGACCGGGTAGAAGGAAGGGGAACCCCAGACAGAGGACCAGGAGGAGGATCCTTCGGGAGAGAACCCAAAGGAACAGAGGAGGGGGCAGTGGGCGCATCAGGGTCCAAGGCCCGGAAACGGTTGTGAGTCTGAGGAAGGCGGGAAGGACGAGGAGAGGAAGAGCGCAACACGCGAGCATAAGAGATATTAGCATAAGGCGGGAGCCGGCGAACCTGGCGCCTCGCCTCAGGAAAAGATAAACGCTCCCGGTGCTTCAAGTTGAGGACGGCTGCCTCAAGCTTGTAATGGACACACGCACGGGAGAAGGTAGGATGGGCCTCACCGCAGTTGAGGCAACGAGCCTGGGGAGAAGTGCACTCCGACTTAGAGTGACCTTCGCCACCACACAAAGGACAGAGAGAGACAGTCCCGGAGCAGCGGAGGGCACCATGCCCAAACCTCCAGCACTTGTTGCAGAGCCGAGGAGAAGGAATGTACTCCTGGACAGAGCACCTGGCACCAGCAAGAATGACAGAGGGTGGAAGGGTCCTACCATCAAAGGTAATCTTCACAACCCGGAGGGGTTGACGGCGACTACCACGAGGGGGACGAGTAAACGTGTCCACCTGGAGAATAGAATGGCCCTGGGCAGCGAGGATATGTCGAATATCGTCGTGGCAGTCGCGCAGGTCCCGAACACCGGTTGCAACATGGGGCGGGAGCAAAATAGTGCCAACACTGGCATTCAACTGAGCGTTCTTCGAGACCCGAACGGGGGTCTCGCCAAGGCAGGATAAGGCAGCCAAGCGGGAAGCAGCATCCTGAGAAGGAGCAGCAACGACACGTGTACCGAGACGAGTGGGGTTGAAAGTAATGGAGGCATCCACGGAATCAATGAGATGTCGATGGAGGGAGAAATCGTCAGGAGGCGCAGAATCAAGAGGGAGGAGATCAAAATATTTGGCCCACGAAGCGGGACCAAACAAGGCTTGATAGGTAGCAGAACTGGAAGGAATCGAGCGAGGGCGGCCGTGACGAGGACGGCGGTGAGAACCCCCAGAGAGAGAGGGGTTAAAAGGCGCAGTAGTTACAACTAGAGAAGGAGCCGCGCCAGGGGACGAGGTAGTCACCACTGGGGGCTTGGGGCTCGACCCAACCACAGAGGAGGGAGGGGAGCCAGAGGAAGGAGTCAGAGAGGCCAAAGGAGGAGCAAGGTCGGGGCCCAATGCAGCGGAGGCTACAGAGCCCGGTCTTCCAATACGGACCGACTCGGGGGCTTGGTCGCCCACCCCACGAGCCTGAGAAGGTAAACCAGAAGAAGCCGAAACAGGGGTAATCATCTTGACGAAAGAAAGAATTCACTCACGAATGTGCCCCCACACCCACCATGGAGCCACAATTAGAGGCAGGACACCCAACAAGAAGCTATCGCCGATCTTGTCGGGGCCTCCTAGGGGTGCGTCGCGAGTATACGCCCCACAAACGCCACCTTAAGAAACCGACAGTCCGTCGAGATCGGGTTCAGTGACGAAGTGGGGATTGACAATAAAAGGTTCCCCTCGCTCTCGACGTCGGGTACTGCAGTTCTACGGGTGCATGAGTATGCCTCCTCAAGCACCCGGGCGTCAAAATAGAAGAAGTCCAAGGGAAGAACCAGAACGAGCAAAAGGTCGGCAGGAAACGGCAAGCAGATAGGAGAAGAGGGGGGAGAAAAACGAAACAGAAGGAAAAGGAAAAGATGCCCAGCAGAATTGGAGAGGACGGCAGCAGGAGCACAAGGCTAGAAAAGGACAGAGGACCGTCCCAAGGAGCATCACACTCCGGCAGCCGCCCACTAAGCCCCCACACGGCGACAACGAGCTGAGCGGGGAGGGGGAATGTTTAATTAAGTGAGGACTGATTGCCTAAGCTGCTGAGGGCCAGGTATTTAGAAGTGGCTGTGTTACAGCATTCACCTAATCCAAGTGTAAACTATTGTATAGTGTTTAAAACCTTTTAAAGAAACTCAAATACGGTAAGCTATATTACTTTACAAATTATGTTATTAAATACTAATATTTACACTGAATTATACACAGAACAATGAAAAGTGAATTTATTACAGTATTACACCACAAGGGGGATTAATGTTCATCCTTGCCCAAAGAAACTTAAGCTCACGTATTAATATGTAAAATCTTAAAGAAAAATACCAAAATACAACAAAATTATTATACAGGTATTATTGTCAGACAATAACAACTCAAAATTATACACAAAATTACAAAAAACATACAAAAAAGCTTCCAAGTCACGAGTCTATACATGTATTTGAACATCAGTGTTGTTGTTTGGCTTAGTCAAAGATGTTACTTGTAATTATTGTATTATCTGCACTGGAATTTGCCTTTTTTTTTTATTGACAAGACATATTGCTGCAGTAATTATGATGCTGAAGATAGTAAGAAAAAGTAGAAATACATTTCCATTGGGAAGAAACTGATGACATAGGGGTGTACTCATCTAGTTGTACTTGAGGGGGTTTAAGCTTTGGCTCTTTGGTCCCACCTCTCAACTAGTCTAAACACGTCTGCAAGTATGGTGTAAGCCACTGGGATGACAAGGCAAGAGCTCATCAGTTAACTCTCAAGTGTACTGTATATAGTAAGAGAGGGTGGGAGTCAATACCCTTCATCTCTTCTTCCCTCCCTCAAAACAGTTTATTGAGAAAGTTCCTAATAATTTTTCCTTACTAGTTTCAATATTGATAGTGTATATAATTTTCATATTAATTTGTTCCTCGATGACCGCTGTATCATATGCCTTTTCAAAATGAAGATTGCCTAATAAATTAATTTTATGATATTTGTTGTTTAATAGTGTGTTTGAGAAAGAAGTGTTTATGATAGATTTGTAGTTACCTAAATGAACTACAAGGTTATTATGAAGTTATTTGACTACATTACTCTCCTGATAAGTAACAAACCCATACATGCATTTATAGCAAATGTAAGCCAACAATTATTTTGTTTTTTTATGTACGGAAAAGGGTTGCCTTTGGTCTGATAGATCAAACAACATCCCATATAGACTGCATTGGCCTTGCTCCATATAATTCATTCATGTGAATTCACACTGTCCCCAAAATGTGATGTGTCTGACCCCTAGATTTTTTAAGTTCTTTTTGTCAAATCTTGCCCAAAATGCTGTGCTTATTAGTGGCTTTAGCCATAGTATAGTATATACTAGCTCTGTCTAGAAAGCCAATATTCTGCTTGTAACTTATTTTATATGTATGTACTTTTACCTAAATAAAGAATTATTATTATTATTATTATAGATGGCAAACCAAGTCACCTGAGGTCTCGGCCAGCTTACTCCCTCACTCTTCCACCTGTCATCACCCCAGCATCCGGAGCCTCTGGAGGGCCATCTCCTACACGACTAACTGGTACTGGCGTTCCCTGGAACATCACATTCCACCGTTGACCATTCCGTTGAAGATTGGTAGAAAAAACAAATAGAGCTTCAGAAATGGAAATGACTGGACAAACTACCATGGGTCAGTAGTTTGGCTCCTGGACACATGAGAAGTTCCCTGTGGAGTCGTTCTACAATACTGTGCTGCATTACTGCAAATTAGAGTTCAAATTGAGGCAGCGGAATCTTACCTTTGGAAGAAACTGAGCAAGACTTTATTTTTCATATAGAAAAATTTAATTCCATAATGTGAAAAGAAATGTGAATAGAATTGTTTACTCTGGGAGGGAAGAGTGTAGATATGGTACAATATACAGCACATACTCTACTGGTTTACAATGCCACCACGTCAAGTTTTGCCAGTGAGGGCTTTAGCATATCTAAATATACATTATATGTTTCTCTAATAAAAGCAAGTGTTAACATGCAATATACATTACCTTTCACAAAATTGTGCATCAGTGTATCTGTAGTTGCTAGTACTGAGGTCTACAGTACGTGTGTACTGTGACACAGTCCTCAAGAGTTGTCTTAATGGCTGATGCTGGTGTAGAGTTAATATGCCAGCCCTCACCCCTACGTCTCGCTTGATGAGAGTCCTGACATGTGAAAGGTCACTCTTCGTAAAGTATACTCTTAACTTTGGTGTTTCTCTACTTCAAGTCCATGTGAGAATTATTATAAAGCAAACCAGCCCGCCACACGCCGACTGCACAAGAGGCAATAATATACACTGTAGCCTCACTCTGACATTCGCTACGTGTGTAATTTTATGGTAGTAGAGACAGTTATCCCAACACCTACAGGTCCTCACGGGATTTATGAGATAATTTGTTGTTAATTTGAGGTAATTACTGGAGCCACTGACGGCGGATACTAGTCCCTTGGTACACAGGTCGGCTCGCACATTGTTTACCATTTCGGACACAAAACTAGTACATTTCGTATACATATATATATATATATTATTGTTCAATATTAAAACCACACTATAATGCTATTAACAAATTAAAATCTTCTACTTAACAGGCATATAGTTATCAAATGAAGTTGAGTGATGTGATGGACATATTCCGGGCTTCATAAGAACGACGCCCGCCAGTGTTAACACCTTACATCTCAAGGACCACAAACATGGTCGAACGCACAAAACACTTGACTGTATTTACGGGCTATTCATGCCCGTGTCACCTTTTAGATTCAGATTCAGATTCAGATGTTTATTCAGGTAAGGTATATACATACAAGTGATGTTACATTAATGGATTGATATATAGGTAGAGCTAGTACATACAATGCCTAAAGCCACTATTACGCAATGCGTTTAGGTGGCTTAATCCTCAGCAATCAATCAATCACTTGACTGTGGCCAGTTTTGAGTAGACTCCTATAACATTTACTTTGTGATAGTTATACTTATATATAATAATTTGTATTAAGGGTAAACGCCTAACATGTAATATTAATTAATAAAAAATATTGTGTAAAAGTAAAGTTGATGTAAAAAGTATAAGTAAAGTTAAAGTTGTCTTCTTCTGGCCGAAACGCTACGCGTGTTAGTGGTTTTACAAGAATGTATAAACATCAATGCTATGTACTCTCATAAACCTATTGTACCTTCTTGTATATATATAAATAAATAAAGTATTTTGGGCGCTCATGTACTTGTGCGCTAGCTGGCGTTCACAACTGATCTAGTCTTCAAGGACTAGATTTAGTCACTCATAATGATAATAATGTTTATTTATTTAGAAGGAATAAATTTCTGGGCACACTGATTAATAATGGGCATCATTAATAATCGCAACATTATATTAATTCATTTTTTGTTGTATTAAAAATATAAAATACGAATCAACGTTTCACTTGGAGATACCTGAGTTTACCCGAGTGTACCTGAGTTTACCTGAGAGCCACTAATACTAGCGGCATCGACGAGAACAAGAAGCCGACGGCTTGTCATTTGGGAAATGAATGGATATCGAGGGCACTTGGTGTCAATTGCCGGCTGGAAAGATATTGCAAATCAAATGCAATATCTTTCATAGACAACTGGGAACACTTCTGTGGAAGAAATGAAATGTATGCTCGTGATGGGGTGCATCTATCGAGAGCTGGGGTTGTTGCTGTTGCGAACTCGTTAGAAGAAGTGGTTAGAGGTGTTTGTTTGGGTTTAAACTGTTAGTAGATAGAGGTATGGGAATTGATTTGGAGGAAGGAGGTAATAAAAGTATGTGTTTGTGGGAGAAAGGAATTGGCAAAACGATCAGGGAAAGAGAAGGTCCGCAAAATAACAATTCACTTAGGGTATATTACACTAACAGTAGAAGTCTAAGAAATAAAATTAACGAATTAAATGCTCTTGTCTGCACAGAAAAAATAGATATTATTGCACTTACCGAAACGTGGATGAATGTAGAAAATAGAGAACTATTAGCTGAATATCAAATATATGGATTTAAACTATTTCACACAGATAGATATATTAGACGAGGAGGTGGAGTAGCCATATATGTTAGGGACAATTTGAAATGTAGTCTCAAAGAGGGAATCAAAACAGAGCCACACACAGAAACTATTTGGGTTGAATTAAACGAAAAAGCTAATAATATTATAATAGGAGTAATATATAGGCCACCAAATTTAGACAGAATGGAAGCAAAGCATCTATGGGATGAAATATCTAGAGCATCTAGATCTAACAGTATTTATGTCATGGGTGACTTTAATTTTAGCGGAATAAACTGGTTGAACAAAACAGGGAATAGTGAAGCAGAAGATTTTCTAGAATTAATTGACGATTGCTTTCTTACGCAACACATTAAGGAACCAACACGGGAAAATAATATTTTAGATTTAGTGTTAACTAACAGGGAAACGCAAATTAATGACATCGAAATAGGGAGTGAGCTAGGGAGCAGTGATCACAAAGAAATCAGATTTAGCATAGAATGGAATAGACCAGTAGGAGAAAATTCTGTTAAAGTGCCAGATTTTCGAAAAGCTGATTTTAATAGCCTAAGAAATTTTTTGGGTCAAATTGATTGGAAAGTCTTGGGTATGGGGTGTGGGCCGGTCTTGGAGCGAGACATGAACCCAGCGATAGGTGACTTAAATGGGGATTTCGATGTGGATTCAATATATAACTTATTTAAGAATATTCTAAACAAAGCACAGGAACGTAGTATACCATACAAATTGAATAGATCGAATACTAATGACCCAAAGTGGATAACAAAGAATTTGAAGAACCTTATAGGTAAAAAGAGAGCTTGGTACAAAAGGATTAAAAATGGGGAGGTCACTTTAGAACAGGAATTCGTACAACTGGTTAGAAATGTTAAAAAAGAGATAAGGAAAGCAAAAAGAAACTATGAAGTTCGCATAGCAGGGCAAGCAAAGACAAATCCTAAAGGGTTTTTTCAGTTATATCGTACTAAGACTAGGGAAAGGATAGGTCCATTAAAAACTGAGACAGGTCAAATAACAGATAGTGATGAAGAGATGAGTAGTATTTTTAATAAATATTTTGTATCTGTATTTACTAAAGAGGAACTTAACAATATGCCTTCAGCCGAACAAGTCTATGTGGGTGGGGACGAGGACAGGTTGACGAGTTTAGCAGTTACCAGGGAGGATGTTTTTAAACAAATAGTAAAACTCAAACCAAACAAATCCCCAGGGCCGGATGAAGTGTTTGCCAGGGTGCTTAAAGAATGCAAAGAGGAGCTTTGTGACCCACTGTCAACCATATTTAATAAATCAATAGAGTCAGGCAGAGTGCCAGAGTTTTGGAAAGTTGCTAATGTGATACCAGTTTTTAAGAAAGGAGATAGATCACTTGCGTCTAACTATCGACCAATTAGCCTAACGTCTATTGTGGGAAAGTTACTCGAATCTATAATAGCAAATAAAATTCGTCTTCATCTTGAAAAACATAAATTAATAATTGAGTCGCAACATGGTTTTATAAATGGCCGTTCATGTTTAACAAATTTGTTATCTTTTTATTCTAGCATTGTTGAGGCAGTTGATAGTGGTAAGGATTGCGATGTTGTATACCTTGACTTTAGCAAAGCTTTTGATACAGTGCCACATGAAAGACTGATTAAAAAAATAGAGTCTCATGGTATTGGGGGTGCTATATTAAGCTGGATTAGGGCATGGCTATACCAAAGGAAACAGAGAGTTAGTATAAATGGAATCAAGTCAGAGTGGGAAAATGTTGTAAGTGGAGTGCCTCAAGGCTCTGTCCTGGGACCTCTGTTGTTTATAATATATATAAATGATTTAGATTCAGGTTTGAGTAGCAACATTTGCAAATTTGCCGATGATACGAAAATCGGTAGGGAAATTAATTCGGAGGAGGACTCACTATCACTTCAAGTTGATCTAGATAGGGTTTTGAAATGGTCAAAGGATTGGCAGATGCAGTTTAATGCTGATAAATGTAAAGTTCTGAGGTTAGGTAATGATGATAGAGTTACAAGATACGAGCTAGATGGTGTTGTGATTGCGAAGTCGGATTGCGAAAGGGATCTGGGAGTTATGATTAGTAAGAATTTAAAACAAAAGGATCAATGCATAAATGTTCGTAATAAGGCAAATCGGACACTTGGATTTATTAATCGCAGCGTTAGTAACAAGACACCTGGTGTGGTTCTCAAGCTATATCTTGCTCTAGTTAGGCCCCATTTAGATTATGCAGTTCAGTTTTGGTCGCCATATTATAGAATGGATATAAATTCACTTGAACGTGTCCAGCGTAGGATGACTAAGTTAATTCCCCAAATTAGAAATCTTTCATATGAAGAAAGATTAACAAAGCTTAAGTTGCATTCACTGGAAAGGCGAAGAGTTAGGGGTGACATGATAGAGGTTTACAAGTGGATGAATGGACATAACCGGGGGGATATTAATAGGGTATTAAAAGTATCAACACAGGACAGAACACGAAACAATGGGTATAAATTGGATAAGTTTAGATTTAGGAAAGACTTGGGTAAATACTGGTTCAGTAACAGGGTTGTTGATTTGTGGAACCAATTGCCGCGTAACATTGTGGAGGTGGGGTCCCTCGATTGTTTCAAGCACGGGTTGGACAAGTATATGAGTGGGATTGGGGGGTTATAGAATAGGAGCTGCCTCGTATGGGCCAATAGGCCTTCTGCAGTTACCTTTGTTCTTATGTAACAGGGTTGTTGATTTGTGGAACCAATTGCCGCGTAACATTGTGGAGGTGGGGTCCCTCGATTGTTTCAAGCACGGGTTGGACAAGTATATGAGTGGGATTGGGTGGTTATAGAATAGGAGCTGCCTCGTATGGGCCAACAGGCCTTCTGCAGTTGCCTTTGTTCTTATGTTCTTATGTTTTATTGGATACGACTCCTCCCTCTGGCATTCACTTAGCAACCATTCCACTTCTGGTAGTAGCTTAGTATACATAGCTTAGTTAACTTCTGTGACTCATTTAACCCATAATTAACTAGGACTATAATTATTGTTAAGGATTAAATTCACACTTCACAAATGTGTCAATCAATCATCGGGAAGAATGTACGATTGCGAGTTACATGAAAGTAACTAAGCTATAAATAATTGTAATTAATAATAATTGTAAATATTAATTAACACTAAATAATATTATTTAATAAATTAGTCCCAATTCAATGCAGAGTTTTCTTCCAAGCACAGAAACTTGTAAATATAAATACAAGATAATAGATAGATCGATAAATAAATAAACAACTTTCAAATATTGCACCAAGTAATGGCGAGAGGAAAAAAAACTAGACAGTATACATTACATTTGAAATTAATAATGGATGAATGGTAATAAATTGGTGTATGTTTGTATGTATACCAGACAAAGCTGCTGATGTAGACCTGACCAAATGTAAACTGTGTCAACAAAATTATTCGCACACCCTCCGTCACTATGTGATGGAGTGCGAAAAGATACGTGAATTTAGAGACAATTCTATAACCAATGTTCCAGCGATGTATCAATATTTAATTCAAAATGATCTGCTACCAGAAATTTTAGCCAAATATCCCCAGTTTGCTAACTGTAGGTAGTAACTAAGTGATTGTAATCTATCCACCGCTGCCCACTGGATGGTG